GCTGGTACTAAAGAAATTTTTTACCCTGGGAGACTCTGGGATCTCTCCCTAGTTCCAGCCCTGGCAGCAGCTGGTAGCATTTTCATTAGAAGACTTTACGTTTGCTCTTTGACCTAACTGCTAGAGAAGTCTTTGACTCCATTTCTGGGAATTCTTCCTGTGGAAACATGCAAAGAGATTTCTAAACCATATATGCAAGATGATTGTTTCCAAAAAAATGTATATAAATGTGTACCTGTAAGGACATACATCGAAATGACAACAATGGTTACCTTTGGAAGGTAGGATTACAGATACTATTTTTCACATTGTCTCTTTTTAATTTTTTTTTTTGAGACAGGCTCTTACTATGCAGTTTAGGCTGGACTTGAACTCACTATGTAGCCAGAGTGGCCTTGAATTCATAGCAATCCTCCTGCCTCAGCCTCTTGAGTGCCAGGTTTACAGGTATGCAGCACCATGCCCAGCTACATTTTTTTATGTTTTACAAATTTTCTGTATAAAGCAAATGGCATTTTTGTAGTTGGAGAGGAAAATATTATTTACAAAAATTTAAAACTCCTTTTTCAAATGTGACGCATTATGTTTGGACTAAGCTGATAGGTCCGGGCCTAGTTGAGTCGACAGATGGCCTGAAACACCTTGCTGGGTGCTGCCTTCCCCAAGGGCATATTGGGGTGATGGCTTAACAGCACTGTGCAGTGGGGGAGAGAACACCACCCAACTTTCACTGTCTCCCCCAATGAGTCTCAGTGGTAGCTCAGCCTCTGCAATACACTTGTGGATGGAGCAAGGTAGATGGGATTTGAACCCTGGCACCCTCCGCCCTCCTTTCTGCAGTCAGAGGGATCTTAAAAGGTAAATCATTGCTATTCTTCTGTTCAAAACCCTTCCGATCTCCAGTTGCACTGGGACCTACGGGGTTATAAGGACCAGCCCAGTCCGACTCCTGTTTAGCCCCTACTCCCGAGCCCTCTCTCCTTCCCTGCCCTTCACCCTTCTGGAGCTGAGCTTGGTTCCTTTCAAACAACAGCTCTCGAAGTTTCAGGGGCTTCACACTTCCTCTTTCCTCTGCCTGGGACACTTTCTTCCCCTTTTCCCCTCCTTACTCATCCTCTTTCTTTCTTTTTTTTTGGGTTCCGGGGGATCAAACTCAGGTCCTCGCGCTTGCGCAGCAGGTGGCGAAACCACTGAGGTAAATCCCCAGCCCTCATGCTCTTTCTTTAGGCCTCTATCCATAAAGAGCCTTCCCCTGAGGACACAATCTAATCCAGCCTTTCTTGTTATTTTCTCCCCCGTACTTTCCTACAAGGCACTTTTCATAAAACTATGATTATAAATATGTACCTATATGTTCCTCTGATGTCTGTCTCTAATACCAAGTTAAAAGTTCTAGTAACCAACAAGGTTTTTTACATAGGGAGGGGAAGAGGCCTACAGGAGGGAATGGGATAAAAAATAAATAAATAGATAACTAAATAAACAAATGTTTCAGTAACTGCATTTCTTTTGCTAACTGTTTTCATAACACTTAGTATAGTGGCTGGGGCAAAAATGCACAACTGATCAAAGATGAATTACAAGAAATAGGGAAGTATCAGAATAAAACATCTCTGAGTATCAACATATAGTGCCATATAAGGTCACAGTAACTAGTATTTTTATTTGGATCAGTGAGAACGTACTCTGAGCTGGTTTGGTTCAATACATCATCTTGGAAGACGTGTAAGTATTCCATCACTCTGCCCGCCCATCGCGTGGCCAGCCAGCCAGCCAGCCATCTACCCCTCCCACTCACACATCCATCCACCCACTTGCGCAACTGTAAACCCATCATTTCATCCAGTGGCACTGACCATCTATGCACACCAACTCAAAAGCTGCGAAGAACTTTGAGAGCATTGCTACAGTGGCTCACCAGCATTTTTTCACACCGACTCACAGTAAAAACAACAAACAAATTTACAGCATAACCTAGTACATACATACATTTGTAAAGAACAATGACGCCCTTGTCACAGGGGAGTCTTCCCTGTTGTTTTCCAGTACATTCTCTGGATGGGAAGTGTTAGTTCAGCCACTGCAGTTAGCAGCTACTTCCGTGGTTAGGGTGATTCTAACCCCTGGATAAGGGAGACCACTATGACAAACAGGAGCTATGTCGGGTGGAGAGTCCTTGCTAGGGAAAATACAGGCTTGGGCCAGGGATTTAGCTCAGTGGCACTGCCGCCTGCCTCAAAAGCACAAGGTTGTGAGTTCAATCCCTGGCGCCAGAAATAAACCCAGGCTTCACAGGAGGACAGAAAGAGATTTCCACATCCAGAAAGGTTTGTTTTGGGAGGGGAGTCTAATATTTTTGAATTCTTTATATGTTCTAGATGTTTGTCCTCTGAGGAATAATTGGTAAAATTATTTTCCCATTCTATAGGTTGTCTCTTCAATCTTGATTCCTTTGCTGTGCAGAAGCTTTTAAATTAGATATTGTCCCATTTGTCAATTCTTGGTACTGTTGCTTCTGCCATTGGGCTTCTGTACTACTCTCCCATACAGAAGAAAAAACTTGAGTCATTTGTAGGAAAATGGATGCATCTTGAAACCATAATGTTAAGTGGAATAAATCAGACACACGGGCTTAAATATCTCATGGTTTCGCTTATATGAGAACCCCAAAATATAAGTAAAGAGCAAAGAAAAGACAGACAATAGGAAGTGGGGAGATAGGTCTTTCTCAAATGGGACAGGGCTCAAGAGCTGAAGGGAGGAGGGTGGGGAGAGGGATGGAAAAAGTAAGATGTGTTACGGCCACGCACCAGCTCCACACAAGGAGTGGAAACATTACATAATGCAAACGTACTAATAAAATATTTAAAATTAATTTTAAAAGCAAGGTTTAGAACAGAAAGGAGAAACGTGAAGAAGAGGTCTTTGGGGAAGGATCCTGATGGTCCCCAGTCCTGTCTTCCTTCCTCTGTGGTCTGAGCCTCAGGATCCCTCAGCAGGCCGGGAAGAGGCACCACTGCTGCAAGGCCTACGAGAGCAGTACATGTAAGATGGTCAGAGCAGGGCCAGGCGTGTCCCAAGGGCCGTGTGTCCTTCTGAATGTTGCTGTTTTACTATTGTCATCTGGGCCTGGCCCTAGTACTGTTCCTCATCATTTTTTCTCTCTTCCCTCCCTCCCTCCCTTCCTTTCTCCTTTCTTTCCTTACTTCCTTTCTCTTTCTGTTTTTGCCATACTGAGGATTAAACCAAGGGCCTCATGCATTGCCAGGCAAGTGGTCTACCACTAAGCTACATCCCAGCTCTTTTTAAAAAATTTTATTTTGAGACAGGTTCTGGCTAAATTGTCCAGGCTGGGCTCAAAGTTGCAATCCTCCTGCCTCAACCTCCTGAGTAGTGGGGATTGCAGGTGTGTGCCACTGGGCCTGGTCATCAGTAACTTTTGAATGACCGAGCTGGCAGCCCTTCTTAGTCCTCCTTCAGATGTTCCTCCAGCCTCGCTGCTGCAACCTGCTGCTTCTCATTGTGCCATCTGTCTGTCTGTCTCTCCCCTGCTCCCTGGAGATTCTTCACCTCACTGGTGCTTTCACCCCACACTGACCTGTGAGACCCCAGCTCTGCCCTCTGGGGCTCTGGGCCCCTCCTCCTGAGACTGTGTGGGACAGCTCTGCTTAACATCAGCCCTGACAGGGGCTGAGGATTTAGCGCAGTGGCACTGTGCCTGCCTTGCAAGCACAGGGTCCTGAGTTCTATCCCCAGTACAAAAAAAAAAAAACAAAAACCCATCAGCCCGGAGGACAGATCTCTGCTCCTCCTCTTCTTTGTTCACCTCTGGATCAGTGAGCCCTCCTGCTGGCTTAATCCCTGCGTGTGTCCCCCTGCCCAGCATCTCTCCCACACCTTTTTCTTTTCATCCCCACATCCATTTCCAAGTCCGAGTCTATTTCAGAAGTATGTCTGCAATCTGTCCCTCCTCTTGTTCTTTCTACAATGGCTTTAAGTCAGGCCATGTCTTCCTTTCAGAGACCACAAAGAGGTCCCCACGGGGCCTTGCATGCTACATGTGTAGGCTATGGAGTTAGAATTCTGGTTCTGCCAGGCGTGGTGGTACACGTCTGCAATTCCTGCACTCGGGAGGCTGAGGCAGGAAGACTGCCATGAGTTCGACCCCAGCCCAGGCTGCATAGTCAGTTCAAGGCCAGACTGAGCTACACAGGGAGACCCTGTCTCATGAACTTAAAAAAAAAAATCTGGCTCTACCACTTAGTAGTGGTGTGACTTTTTCTTTCTTTCTTTCTTTCTTTCTTTCTTTCTTTTTTTTTTGGTACCAGGGATCGAACTCCGGACCTTGAACTTGTGAGGCAGGTGGTGGAGTGGTGTGATTTTTGACAAGGTCTCTGTGCCTTAAATCCCTCATCTTTAAAATGAGGCCGTGGTTGTGATAGGTAAAGTGCCTGGTAGGAAAGTGATGGTTTTTTCACTACTCTGGCATTTTGCCCCAGTAATTAAATTACTGAAGTCAGCTATAGCAGAAATGAAACACTTGTGAAAATGAAAAAAATTATTTTAAAACTGTAAAAGGCTTGGGCTGGGGATTTAGCTCAGTGGCAATGCACCTGCCTTGCAAGCACACGGTCCTGAGTTCGATCCCTAGTACCAAAAAAAAAAACCAAAACCATAAAAGGCATAATAAAAGTTCCCCTTCATAAGAATACACATTTACACAATGGCATATGAAACCACATGTGATCTGAGGTGGGGAGGAATGAGTCACTCATCTTGTAAACACAGCATTTCGGCACAGACAGGTTATCTGCTTGGCAATTTTACATGTCTAGCTTTCATAATTAGGGCCATGACTCCTTCGCCTCATGTGAAGCCAGTTTTGCTTTCAAGCTCAAAGTAGATTTTGCTTTAAGAAGAGTTGAGTGACTTCAGCTTGTGCTGATATTCAGATAACTGGTTGTTTCACCCATAAGTTTTTGTTTGTTTTTTCTCTGCAGTGCTGGGGACCTCCTGCATGCAAGGTAAATGTTCTAGCCTGAGCCCCAGCCCCAGCCCCATATGTAAATGTTAAGTAATCAGGAATAAAGTGTGTTATATTCAAATACTGACAGCATAAGAAAAGTCTGCTTCTGTAATTTTATAAATTCTGTAAATTTTATAAATGCTCTTATCCCAGATACATTCAGACATTGGAGTTCACTCCATTTGAATTGTTTCCCAGGGTGGCAGATAACTTGACTCAGAATTTCCAGGAAGCATATGTGAACTCAGATTCTTGAACTGTTCGGGACAATTCTGTTCTGAAGATCTAAGTTGAGGTCCAGGAATTAGTATTTTTAAAAAAGGTTTTCCTAGTGCTATGGAGGCCTGGAAGCATTAGCAAACTGTGACCTTTGTCCAACCTCTGACTCAGTGGAGAACACTCTTCTCCGAATCCCTAATAAACTGTTACTTAGATCTGCTTTGAGCTCTTCCAGAGGGACCAATCTCATCTCCGGGTAGTTTGTTAACCTTACTAGAAAAGTCTGATTGCCAAAGCTTTTGTTTACATTAAATTGAAATGGGTCAGCTAGTGACTTCCTTGAATAGGTCTGGTTCTGCCCTCTGGTATAACAAGGATAATATACGAGATATACAAGGATATATATGAGAGCCCTTCATGCATGTTATCATGGCTTTCAGTCGCCCACCATCTTTTCTTCTACAGCAAAACAGCCAGTTCCCCACTGCTCACAGGTCTGTCAGCATACGAGGTATCCTTGCTCCCTGTGGCAGCTTCAACACTCTCTGCAGGACTTTCCTACCCACCACTGCCAGCACCTGCATCCCTCAAGTGGCATAGGGGCCACGTGCATGCCCAGCCGTGGAGCAGCAGGCTGTGAGAGGCCATAACTAATGGTATGTACTCCCTGGTGGTGACTCTCAAATGCTCACAAGCCAAATGACACCACCACATGAAGAAACTGTCACCAGTCCATGTTGAGATGAGGACAATAAGAACAACCTGGTTAAGTTTATTCCATACTTTTTTTTGGTAGTACTGAGGATTGAACCCAGAGCCTTTGCACTGAGCTACATCCCAAGCACTTTTTTATTTTTAGACAAGGTTTCACTAAGTTGGCCAGGCTGGGCTTAGCCTCCTGTGGTGCTGGGATTACAGGTATGCACCACCATGCCCCGTTTGTACATTATGTCTCTATTATATCTTGTTTATGTCCTTTTTAAAATTTAATTTATTTTAAAAAGAGAGAAAGAAACAGGGCCTGTTTAGTGGCACATGCCCGTAGTCCCAGCTACTCGAGAGGCTGAAGTAGGATGATCACTTGAGCTGGCTTTCAAGACAAACCAGAGCAGAATAGTAAGTCCACATCTCAAAACAAACAAAACAAAAACAAAAACCCTATAATGGTAGTAGATACCTTGGCATGCTTTGCTTGGTTTATTTGGTTTTTTATTATAATAAAAAGCCAGCAATCCTATGTTGATGATCCAATTTCTTTTAGAATTATACTGTTCCAGGCCGGGGATTTAGCTCAGTGGTTTCGCCGCCTGTTGTGTAAGTGCAAGGACCTAAGTTTGATCCCCAGTACCCAAAAAAAAGAATTATACTGAAGACAAAGTCTGGGAACTACTGCCTAAGCCTGGCCTCCCTTGCCAATACACCAGTGTTCTCTGATCCAATCCTTGCTCTTGTATCCATAGAACAAGGTAGTGTGACTCAGAGGTCATAAAAAGAAGATGAAAAGACAAAAAATGATGGTTGTATTTTAGGTCTAAATATTATTGTTGTTATTGTTTCAAGTTATTCTATGCTCCTTTATTCCAAAAAACATCTCTAATTTCATCACTCTCTTGCTCAAAGGTTTTCTCTTCTGTCCAAGATGGGCGTGGTGGTGCACATCTGTAATCCCAAGGCAGAAGCAGAAGGATCACTGTGAGTTCAAGGCCTGCCTGGAGTATATAGTGAGTCCCTGTCTCAAAAGACAACCAAATAAACAAACAAAAGTTTTCTTCCCTTCTCTTCCTTGTTCCCTCCTTTCAAGACTTATTTAAGTATCTTTTCCTGTGTGTATTGGGAACAATCTGGCATTGAAACTCTTTACTTGATACTACTGAACTCATTTCTCTATTCAATGGGACACACTTTCCTAAGGTGACAGCTGTCTTCTGGGTGGTACGGGAGCATTCCTGCCAAAGAGCTGTTCCTTTTCAAGTCTCTTTCAAACTGCACCCCAGGCCAGGCTCACTGTGTTCCCCAAGCTGGTCTTGAACTCTGGGGCTTAAATGATCTTCCCGCCTAGCTTCCCAAGTACTGGAACAACAGGCCCATACCCCTGCACCTGGAATTTTCTCCCCACCCCTTCTCTCCCTCTCCCTCTCCTTCTTCTTTCTTCTTCCTTTCTCCCTCATTTCCTCCTTTTCTCCCTCTTAGCACTGGGGATTGATCCCAGGACCTGGTGCATGACATAAACCAAAACACTGGGTTATGTCTTGCCATCTCCCTAACACTTGCTGGATTCCATTTGCTAACAAAGAGACTTCAGTCATAGCCCTTTATTAGGCAGGAACAATTTACTAGTTTAACTTTCATTTTCTTTATGTTGAGGGTTACTTTTTATCTATGACAAGTAATACAAAGTTTCCATTTGTGGTAGTGGTATAATGTTTCTTTTTAAAATAAACATTTGGGGGCGGGTACCAGGGATCGAACTCAGGACCTTGTGCTTGCCAGGCAGGCAGTGCCACCACTGAGCTAAATCCCCGGCCCTTAAAATAAACATTTTAAAGTTAAAAAGTAAGTCAATCGATAGGAAAAAGACCCTGTCTCAAAAGAAAAAAGAAAAAAAATTTTTTAAAGGGCTGAGGAAGCTGGGTATGGTGGTACATGCCTGTAATCCTAGCACTCAGGAGGCTGGGGAAGGAGGATCACAAGTTTAAGGCCAGCCTGGCCTACAATAGTGAGTTCAAACCAGCCTGAATGACATAGAGGGAACTTGTTTTAAAACAACAAATAAAAACAATCAAAAAGGGCTGGGGACATAGCTCAGTGTGAAGGCCCTGGGTTCAATCCCCAGTACCAAGAGAAGAAGGAGAAAAAGGTGAGTAGAAGGTGCTTGCTGGGGGGTGAGGATCCCTGAGCTGCCGTGTGTGCTGATTTCCATGGTATGGATTCCCCACTTTGCCTGTCTCAAGGTGCCCAGGTATGGCCTTGTATCCTGAGTTGGGGAAAATGTGCAGACCAAGCAGGCTCTCGGAGGCTGTGAGTAACTCGAGTTCACCACTGGGTGGAGCTCAGACCCAGTAAAACTCCCTGAGGAGCCTGGCAGTGGCTGAAGTTTAAGAAATACTTTTTTAAAAAACACTCACTTTTGGATAAATCTTACTTCCTACCGTGCAGCGGAAGCGCTACCCTGTTTCTTGCTCATTTTGCCCACCCTGAAGTGCCTAGCAGGGGGCTCATGATGAGCACCTTGCCAAAGGGACTTCAAGAAGGAATCCTCTTGAACTGCTCTCTGGTCTGGGATGGCAGTGATTTAGCGGGACCCTCAAATTCCTGACTGTGGGTAACCCAGCTCCGGGCAGAGGTGCGGGCTCAGGTGGGGGCAGAGGGAGGCACAGGTGTCCGGGCCAGCTGGCTCCAAGGCAGGAACATCAGAGTGGGAGAGAGCGGCGGAAGGAGGCTATTTCCTTCACGGTGTCTGGGAAGCAGAGCAGGGAAACAGTGCTAGAGAGGAATGGGCGATGGACCAAAGCATTCCAGGCCACACTTCCGTGACCTACCCAGACACACCCAGGAGCCTTCTTTCCCCCCCCCCCATTAAGCTTATTGGTACATTTTAGGTATAAAATACGGTTACATTCATCATTGGGATCTTATACCTGTACATGATGTATCTTGGTTCTTATTTGTTCCCCTTTCCCTGCTCTCCCTTCACCCCCTCCACCCTTGTCTATTTACAAAGACTTTGTTTCCATTTTTTTCCTTTTCTCATATTTTTCTTTTCCCTTCTTTACTTTCCTCTACCCCTCCCACTTCCCCTACTCCTTTAGACCTTTTCTTCCTATTTCACAATATCAATTATACATTTTGATCCTTATTTACACTTTTAGTTTTTCACACCAGAGAAACTATTTGGTATTTACACATGTGTGTCCTATTTATTTCACTTAAGAGTATGGCCTCAAG